ATGCTCCTGTAAAAGCCTCCCTATGGTGTTAATAAGAAAAAAATCAGAGCAGAGAAGAAAACAACCATTCTTTCTCTGGGAACCCAGCAGAGTACATATGTGTTGTTTAAGAAAAACTTTGGATTCACAAACAACCATACACATTGCACTCCACAAACCTGCCAAGTCCAGAGCACAATCACACTACCCTGTTGCCTCTGAGGAAGGTACTGGGTGGGCAAAGGATGGAACAGGGAGAAGACAGCTTTTTGTACCCCTTAGTGTCTGGACATCAATGATGCAGCTTTGAAAGCTGTCTCTCCAAAAGCCATGAGGAAAAAGAAAAAAAGCAGATACTAGGACTGCAGATATACATGGGAAATATGTTAGAAGGAAGTTTTTAATGAAGGAATGGATGAAAGACTTTCCAACTACAGGAGATTAACATTCTTATCATATATACTGTTATTGCAAAATGAGGAAAGGGGTGAGAGGGGAAAACCCTCCTTCAAAGACCTGGAAACTCTCCGACACTAAAAATTAATTCAGTACATTTAGTACATAGTACAGTTCATAAGTATTCTCTTTGCAAACCTTCTTCTGGACTCTAAAACTTTAAAAAATCAGGTAAATCATACTGAAGATCTAGATCTACTGAATTACTGATTTTTTAAATGCCACATGAAGCAGGTAGAAACCTTTTTGTAAAGTAAAAAGCGGCGGCAGCAGCAGCGCACGCTTTTCCAAACACCACTCAAGGAAACCCACTGACAACCAGGTGGGGCAAGTAACACACACAGTTACATAACCCTTCAGCTTGGTCTGTAATTCAAGTGCCTGCTTCGCTTCCAAGCTGTGCACAATCTCAGAAAAACAAAGTCAGAGCAAGGAGGGACAGAGTCACTGCAGACACAGAAAGCGCTTTCCCTGATGCTTCTCTGTGTGAAACAAGAAAGCCAGCACCCATCTTCATATCCCAAATAGTGAAAGGTTGCCAGTCAGCTGACAAACCAGCAGACACATGACAAAAGGCTGGATTTCACAGAAATATTGGGGACAAACATGGTTTTGCTTAATGTGGTATTAGACAAGCAAAAATAAAAAGTGAAAGGCACCCAAAGCCATTTGGAAACAGGGCAGAAAGGGAGGAAAAGTTTCCAGCTGTCTGCTGAACAGCGGTGTTTGTGGACCTGCCATAACCTTCAAGATGTCAACTGGAGACAGAAAGGTGCAGGCAAATCTTGATTTACCACCAGGCACCAGAGCTCATTTCCCAAGGCAAAGGGACATCTCCTCCTGTCACAGCAGACGGTGGTAACTGAAGCCAGAAGGCTGCATGGGGAGAAGACTCTCTGCACTGCAGGCATCGAGAAAGCGTTGTTTATAAAGAATATTAAAAATAGTAAGTCTGTTAGACAAGCGCAGGGCAGGCAAGTAAGATGTAAAGGAGATAGGAGAATAACAAGATATGCCTAATTCCTTTCCTCGAGGAGTTATTTCTGACTCCAGTGGCACCTCAGCATCTCTATCTCAGGGACTCGGAATGAAAACAGACTCATCAAATGACTGACAGAACCAGCTACTCTCTTAGTCAGAGAATTATTCACATTTCAGTTTCTTTTTTAACATGAAGTAAGCTGGACACTAGACACACCATGACACTGTCACAGGAGGTGTGTCCCACTTGCACAGTCACAGGCAGTTTCGGGGAAGAAGGGAAAGGGCAAGGCTTCACTAGTCACTGCACTCGATGTCCATCCTTACCGATATTGCAAGCCCTAAAATAGTAATTTATGTACTATGTAGTCACCTAAATACTTGATCTCATTCTTCAGACACGCTGAAAACAGAACTGTGCATGTCTCAAAATAATTTAAATGAATTAGCTGAGAATATATTTGAGAGGGTAATTTGCCAGCACAGATATTTTTAAATGCATTTCCTCCTGTACACTTAAAATGTTTCATGTTTACTTTTCAGCAAAGGAGTCCTTTGTAGAACTGGAGATATAAAGCTGTGTAAGCACACTAAACAAATTATGGTCATTTTACATTAGGAAGATTTATGGCATTTGTTCCCTAAAACTATTTTGATGCCGTTCTGGCTTTTTTTTATGTACACACATATATACGATACCAATTTATTTTAAGCCTGTGTCTTTGCATCCCCATCACCAAAGACAGTAGAAATAGAGCCACTGAACCAAACTTCTGTGCGCCGGAGCCACCTGAATAACATTCAGTGGAATGTGGGAGACGGTGGAGAGCCGGGGGTTTGACCAGAGCCCAGCTCTCCACCCCAGGCGCCCACCTGCGTCAGAGCCAGCATCGGGGCACAGGCTATGCTCTGCCCATTGGGTACAGCAGAGTCAAACGGAGAATCGTAACTTGTTCACAGTCAGTTTAAGGCTTTTTGCAAAGTCATACATGCATAGAAAGGTAAAAACTAAAATGTGGAGAGAGATGCACATACAGCCAGCGCCTGGTCCTAGACAGCTGCATGTGCCCAATGCCTGCTCGGCACATCCCCGGACATGTGGTTGCTGTTGGCGAAACCACTACTGATGGGAGACAAGGCGCAGAGGGGGTTCTGAGGAGGTTCTGACGTAGTTTTGAGAATAAAAAAATCAGAGTAGGAGAAAAACAGTTATATCTATTAGCCTCTTGTGTGACTTGACTGTGACGTCCCATTCAAGCAACTCAAAAAAAGTTTGCATCATTTAGTTCTGAACAGAATGACAAGTTTATGCAGCACAGGAAAATTCTGCTCCTGTTACCTGCTTTGAACGTGGCCTGCTTATTGTCAGCATTATAAATATACACATGAATAAGAAACATTCCTACATTTGTTACAAAAACATACCGTCAATTAAAAAAACTGTCTCCTGATAGTAACCTCAGGTACTGATTTTTAAAAGCCTCTCTTGGCTAGCACTGGCACACTGGCACACAAGAATTTTCATTTTCATTTTCATGCATTTTCATTTCAAGCATAATCACTCCAGTAAATTAGTTACAGAATGTTTCCCAAAATGTGTATATGTAATTTTTAAATATGCTTAAAGTCTCAAGCACTATTTAAACATTTTTCTATCTTCCTTTTTTTTGTAATCTTCAGCACTACCAGCAGCAATGTTGGTACACAAATCCAAGGAGATACACAGAGTAAACTGGACAAACGAAACTTAACTCCAGGTCGTTTGCCTGCCCAGCAGTTACGAGAAAAATAGATGCTACCCAGAAAATGTATTAACTGTGCTGTGCACAAACTGCATTGCTGTTACAGCAGTCACCATGTGGCACTGAACATTTGCTCCCCAAGAGGCAGAAAAATTTAAGAAAAAGACAGGCTGGTTAGCTCTAGTTCCAAAGAAAAGGACTGGATGTGAAAACACAAGAAGAAAGGCATTAATGAAATTCAGCATAATTAAGCTAATTCTTAGAAACTGCATTTTAAAAGGTTTATAGGGAGAAAAAAAAAAAGACATAAATTCCAAAGTTAATGTGGCTGCTGGGTTTCTGGCCTGGCAACTGAATGCTCCGCCACTCTCCTGGCATTGTGCTGGGAACAGAGAAAGCATTTCTGAAATCTCTGAGGGCTGGGCAAGCACACTGGTGTCTTTAATCAATGATCTGAGATCGAGTGTGCACTACGGTCTGTTCAGCCATGGACTATGGACAACCATGCAAAAACATACACAATAACAACTCTAAGCAAAAAGTTATTGAACATTTATGGGCAAGAAACAGGTGTTTTACCGGAAAAGGCAGCAAAGACAATTTCTCAGGTTCCCCTCTCAAACATTTGAGAAGCAGCACGTGAGCAGCAGTGCTGTTCACATAGACATCCTGCAGAAAAACTTCACTAGTATCAGCCCGCAGACCAGCGCTGCAAAACATTGCATTGTCCTGCACCCAAAACCGCCTCATTTACCTATGCTCCAAGTAAAATTACGGTATACTTGTTTTTTTAAATGGGGGGGGGGGGGGGGGGGGGGGGAGAGGTTAC